TTTTCATTTCTCTTGTCGTTGGCAGCTCATATACCTTTATATTTGTACCCTTTCCTTAATACAACAAGCAAGTCAAGGCCTTTCGAGTACTTGAGGCTTACTAGCTTAGGAGTCATTGGTGCCTTAGTAAAGGTTTGTTATTCTTATTTGACAAACTGATGGGTATATTTTCTTTTTATTTGTTTGTCTGATAAAATGTACAAGAGTAAATTACCAGCTGATATACAAGTATAACTGGATAGGTATATGGCTACACGTTTTGAGAATTGATATTTATAAGAGTTTAAATGTGAAAACTTCTTGCATGCCGTAACTAAAAGCGCCCTTTCCATTCTTGCTTGTGTAGCTGATCTGAGAAATAAAAGGACTAGCAGAATCTAACGTGAGATAAATGAGGGGATAAAAAGAATGCTTAGTTTTTATCCCTTTTTATTTTTTTTTTTTTATTTTTTTTTTTTTTATAACGTTGATTGAAATAGGTGGCTTTACTAGCTCCATCATTTAGTGAAGGATTTAACTGGAGCGTGAACTTGGACGAGAAAATAGTTAACATTGCTTTATTTGCATGGGTTTTAGATTCAACTTGTAATATTATCCTGCACGTGCACCATTATGTGCAGCTGGTCTTCTCACACTCTTTTTCACATGTGAACCTGAAGTATGTAGCATTTTTATGCCAGACATATTTGTAATTAAAAAATATTTGGAATTTGGAACATTAATTCTTTTTACTCCATTTTACCAGGTCGATGATACAGAAGTGATTAGTTTTCTTCTATCAACTGAAATAATCCCGTTGTGCCTGCGAACTATGGAAATGGGTAGTGAACTGTCAAAAACAGTTGAGTGTTCGTTTCTGTTCTTCACTTCTTCTTTTTTCTTCCCATCATTGTATGTTTCATTAGCATTTATGCAAGGCCTTTCCCAGATTGCCCAAGTTTCCCCGAGGTTGCCTGACAAAAGTTGTTATCTTCGCAGGTGGCTACATTTATTGTTCAAAAGATTTTGTTGGATGATGTGGGCTTGGATTATATCTGTACTACAGCTGAGCGGTTTTTCGCAGTGGGTCGAGTCTTGGGAACCATGGTTGCATCACTTGCTGACCAGCATTCGTCTCGCTTACTAAAACACATTATTCGATGTTATCTTCGATTGTCAGATAACCCAAGGTTGGTCGAATGAAGTAGATTTATTAATTCTTTTTTGTTTTTTTGTTTCTTCAATATCTCGTGTTAATCATTTGATTTGATCTGTTTTTTTTTTTTTTTTTTTATCATCAGGGCTTGTGATGCTTTGAGGAGCTGTCTTCCCGATATGTTGAGAGATGCTACCTTCAGTGTTTCCCTCCGTGTAAGCTCCTTTCTGGATGCCTATGCTGTTTAATTCATAATTGATCTTAACGAGTAGTTTGGAAATAAAAAAAAAAAAAGTAAAAAACTAATGCGTTTCATCTTCAGATGAGGACATATTGGTATGCAGATGTTCTTTGTGGTAGTGTCCTTGAATTTTCCTGCTGCATCTCCTTGTACTTGCATGATTGGCATTGAGGTGTTTGTGAAGTCATATTAGCGTGTCTGAAAATAGGGTGTGATAACTCTGTCGAATGCATGTTTTGGTGGTTGCTCATGGGAGTTACTGAGTTAGTCCTGTATTTTTTTTTCTTGCTCCCATCTTCAAGGGTACATATAGTTACCAGACATAGTTTGTGAGATATTGGAAAAATATACCTTGAGTTTGATTTACTGTTTCTTTTCGGTATCCCCTACTGTTTTATTTGGACGCAGTTGTGTGGTCTGCTTTCAAAGTTAATTATTTGCGTCACGATTTCAGGAAGATCCAACTACAAGGAGATGGTTGCAGCAGCTACTTCACAACGTTGGGGTTAGTCGGGTTCCTGCGCTTCAGGCTGGAGGAGGATTCGATCATATGATGGTGAACTAATATAAATAATTCGGTGTCATCTTTGGGCTGCCGTCTGTTGCTTAATGCATCAGAGAGGGCTGGATGCTTTTTCATTTATCTGTCTCGATGCTAATTGGCACTCTTCATCCGTCTGTAATTTACAAAATGTTTCTTCTGTGACTTGGCCTGTTCAGGCCAAGTTTAAACTATTGACGTCGCTTGAAGTCAATTGTTCGCTAAAGAAACAAATGGTCGTCTTATTTTGGCAAAATTATAAATAAAGTGAACTTTTTTTCCTAAACATTTTGTTTTGAATAGAAATGTTCTCATGATCATTTGGTGACGACGGGATGTATAGTTACATATCTTTGGATTTGATATTGATTGTGGAGAATAGATTGATTGACGTTCTTTTGTTGATTTTAAATTCAAAGGTAACTGTTGATTTTAAATTCAAAGGTGGATGATCATGATTTCCAAGATAACGAGAATCTTGTTTAGCCATTATTTTGTTTTGAAACCTATTAGTTGGTAAGTAATTGTGGTAGTGTCGGTGGTGGTGGAGCATTTTGTACTCACACCTGTCTGACCGTAGTACAAGGCCTAATTGGATAAATGGTCCCCGTGGTCATAAGGTATTCGGATAATAGCCCCTGTGGTAAAAAAATTCGGATTTAAACCCCTGTGGTCTAAGTCTGTTAGGATTTAAACCACTGTGGTCTAAGTCTGTTAGGATTTATGCCCATCTGTTAAATAATATTGACGTGGCTGACACATATATGCCACGTGGCAAAAATAATAATTTTTAATTTTTTTTAAAAAACCTGAATTTTTACCAAAAAAAAAAAAAACACAGATCTGCAAGAAGAAGAAGAAGGAAGAGGGAGAGGGAGGAGGGCGCGGGGAGAGGGCTCCGGCGGGAAGAAGAAGAAGAAGAAGGAAGAGGGAGAGGGAGGAGTCGCACGGGGAGACCGGCGGGAGGAAGAAGAAGAAGAAGAAGAAGAAGAAGAAGAAGAAGACCACTGTGGTCTAAGTCTGTTAGGATTTATGCCCATCTGTTAAATAATGCTGACGTGGCTGACACATATATGCCACGTGGCAAAAATAATAATTTTTAATTTTTTTTAAAAAACCTGAATTTTTACCAAAAAAAAAAAAAAAAAAAAACACAGATCTGCAAGAAGAAGAAGAAGGAAGAGGGAGAGGGAGGAGGGCGCGGGGAGAGGGCTCCGGCGGGAAGAAGAAGAAGAAGAAGGAAGAGGGAGAGGGAGGAGTCGCACGGGGAGACCGGCGAAGAAGAGAAGAAGAAGAAGAAGAAGAAGAAGAAGAAGAAGAAGAAGAGAAGAAGAAGAAGAAAGAAGAAGAAGAAGAAGAAGAAGAAGAAGAAGAAGAAGAAGAAGAAGAAGAAGAAGAAGAAGAAGAAGAAGAAGAAGAAGAAGAAGAAGAAGAAGAAGAAGAAGAAGAAGAAGAAGAAGAAGAAGAAGAAGAAGAAGAAGAAGAAGAAGAAGAAGAAGAAGAAGAAGAAGAAGAAGAAGAAGAAGAAGAAGAAGAAGAAGGGAGAGGGAGGAGTCGCGCGGGGAGACCGGCGGGAAGAAGAAGAAGGAAGAAGGAGAAGGACGGCCCCCCAAGGAAGAGGGAGAGCGAGGAGGGCGCGGGGAGAGGGCTCCGGTGAGGGGGGGGAGCTGGTCTTCGGCGGGAAGAAGAAGAAGAAGAAGGAAGAGGGAGAGGGAGGAGTCGCGCGGGGAGACCGGCGGGGAAGAAGAAGAAGGAAGAAGGAGAAGGACGGCCGGGGGGGGGGAACGGGCGGAGGCGGGGGGGGGAGGTTCTGGGGTTTTTTTTTTTTTTTTTTTTTTGTAAAAATTCAGGTTTTTTTTAAAAAAAAATAAAAAATTATTATTTTGCCACGTGGCAGACATTTGGCAGCCACGTGAGCATTATTTAACAGATGGGCATAAATCCTAACAGACTTAGACCACAGGGGTTTAAATCCGAATTTTTTTACCACATGGGCTATCATCCGAATACCTTATGACCACGGGGACCATTTATCCGATTAGGCCAAAGTACAATGGTGAAACAAAAATTCTTGAGTGCTTCGGAGTATTTGATATTCTAGGTGTTTTAATCAATATATTTTAGTTTTTGTATCATTAAACAAATATCTAACGGTTAGAATATGATGCCTACAAAAGTTTCATATTAAAAATCTAAAATTATCATACTCATGTAGTATTTGAATGATTGAATCCACATTTGCAGCTCAACTGACCGTACATTTTGTATTATATATATAACTGCTACCAAAAATTCTTAAATGCTCTGAAATGCCAGGTATTCTGAGTGTTTTAACTGTTAAATCGTAATTTTTGTATATTTAAACATAAATCTAAAACACTTATTGTACTGGGTGCTCGAGAAAGTTCCAACCGTTACACTGGCTAGAAAATCCCTTTGTATATTCCATTTTCCAACTATTTAATAGAGGCGGAACCTATTGTATTATTTCGTACAAATGCAATATATAAAACGTAGGTTAAAAAATCTTTTCTAATAAAGATTAGACCTAGCAATATGGTAGGTCCCGTTTCTATTGAAGATTTGGTATAAATGTAATATATAAAACGTAGCAAGTATATCATTTTTTAAGTAAAGGAACATTAAAAGAAGAAAGCAACAATTAATCGAGAAAAGTGCTAAGGGAATTGGTAATTCATGAGTTAATAGGTCAATTGTTGCTGTTATTTCTTTAAAGTCAATGTTTTGAACCTTTTTAAGCTGTCTGAATTAATGTAGCATGCTAATCTTGAGCCCATGATATATAAATTTGAAGAGAACGATGAAATCTATAAGACTTGTATGTATGCAGAAAGTGCAGTTAAAATATGATAAGTATCATGTCGTTTTAAATTTTAGCATTTTCAACCACACATAAATTATTTATTGAACGAGTAACGTACTTTTCAAACACCAAGTACTCAAGTCAAGTGAGATGGAATCTGGAATGTAATTTGATGCAACCCGTTTCCACACTGCCCCTCGTCCATCTGTCCTTTGTTTTTTATTTTATTTTTTTTGTCGTTTAAAGCTGGTGACTTTAAAGATGTACTTGCATTCGAACCCATCACGAACCAGGTGCTTCAAACTCAAAACGACAAGTTCAGAGTAAACTCCAACTTCCAACCTGCGTCAAACCCATCAAAAACCCAACAAATAAAATAAATAAATTACTCCGCAAATCATGGATCGTACGGTCCAGCCATCGCCGGAAATGCAGCAATCCGTGGCAGCCGTGGAGCAAATCGTGGGCTACGATTTCAGGAACAAGAGGCTTCTAGAAGAAGCTCTGACCCACTCCTCTTACTCCGAATCGCAGTCGTACCAGCGCCTCGAATTCGTCGGCGACGCTGCTCTCGGCCTCGCCCTCAGCAACTACTTCTTCCTTGCTTATCCTGGGGTCGAACCCGGCACTCTCTCTCTGCTGCGCTCCGCCAACGTCAGCACCGAGAAGCTCGCACGTGTGGCTGTCCGGCACGGCCTTTACTGCCACCTCCGCCACAATGCACCTGCTCTCCAGGATAAGGTTCGTTACTATTAATTAATTAATTATTCCCTTTGTTCTCAATCAATTTCATTTTTTCTGATTCTCTGTTTTATGTGTGGAAAGAAAGAACAAAAGGAGGAACATTTTAGCCGGGTTTTTGTTTTTGTTTATATTTTCTTGTTGTCTGGATTTGTGTCGGAAAAGTTTAATTGTTTCATAGGTATTAATTTTGTTATCTTTTAATATTTTTCCCATTTTTTTTTCCAGGTTAATTTTCTTGAAAGGATTGTTGTTGTCAATCAATGGTATAATTTTAGGATTTGTCTGCAATTTGTTCTCAATTTTAGGTTAGGGAGTTTACTGAAGCTGTCACTGGAGAAGACGAGACGCCGCTTGTATATCGTGGTTCTGTGAGAGCTCCCAAGGTTCTTGCAGATATGGTGGAGTCTGTGGCAGCAGCAGTGTATGTTGACTTGAATTTTGATCTGGAAAAATTATGGATGGTGTGTATTTGATTACCTTCTGTTAAGTTTCCAAGCGTTTAGAAGTTGGATATAACCTGTTAGTTTTTGTTGTTGTTGTTGATATACATTTGTAGAAATTTAGGCGCCTTTTGGAGCCTATAGTTACTCTTGAAGAAGTGCAAGGTCAACCTCAACCTGTTACAATGTTGTTTGAGCTTTGCCAGAAGCACGGGAAACATGTTGATATCAAGCATTGGAGAGATGAGGCCAAAAGTATTGCTAGTGTCTATGTTGATGGCGTGTTTGTTGCCTCGGGTTCTTCTGAGCAAAAGGAGATTGCCAAGCTTGATGCTGCTAAGATAGCTCTTTTAAAGTTGTCGAAATCGTTGGGGGTAAGTGGCAGGTCGACGGAATTTATTGCGGGAATTGATGGAAAGTTTCAAATTGAAGAAGCAAAACAGAAGTTGCATGAGCTTTGTGACAAGAAGAAGTGGCCTAAACCAATTTACACGTATGAATCTCTTTGCCCTTATCATGACCTCTGAACATATTTGAAGAAAAACACTGTATTGTTGGAATTAATGTTGTTTATTCCGTAGTTATGTAGATTTTCTGTTTTTCTATTGCAGCATTGAGAAAGATGAAGGTCCTTCACATGAGAAGAGATTTGTATCCTCAGTCAAAATTGCAACTGCGGATGGTGTACTATGCATAACGGGAGATGAAAGGTCGAGAATAAAAGATGCGGACAACTCTGCAGCTTCGTCAATGATCTGTGCTTTACAAGAATCTGGTTATATATGATGCAACTCCAATTCTTTTTCTTTTCTTGTACCCCCTGCCGCATTTGAAATTTGAATGCATAGTTTAGAGGAAAACTCTGTATGCAACATAAGAGCTTGCAGTTATGCAATAACAACGATGGATTATAGGAAAATGTTGCGTTTCATGCCCAACAGATTTAGGTTAGGATTTGAGCCTGTAACGTTTGTTTGTGCTCGTCGTAGTTTTCAGACTGTTTATCCCCTGTTTCAAGTGATTGTTTGATTGGATGGAGTTTACTGGTGGTCCATCTTCTTCTCTCTCTCTACCTCCATAGCAACCTTGAGCTCTTTAACCAGCAGTCTGATTTTCACTCAACGAAGACTCCCATATTCACCCAAACCCACAGTGGTGCACAATGCGATACTCTCAACTTTGATAAATTAGTATTGTTTTGTTTTCTGGTAAATAAAATTTGATCATATAATTTGGCTCCCCAATGTTAAGCAACAAATTTGATAGTAAAACATAGTGCTAGTGACGGCTCTCGTCATAAAGAAATGTGGCTGTTTCTCTTCTGAATATGTGATTGTTTTGGTTTACATGGGAGAAGAGACCAAAAACGAAAACTAAGAATCAAACATTTAGGATGAAGATGTAGCTCCTGCAAAGACAGCCATGGATCACTAGAAAGGCTGGTGCTGCTACTATCCACACTCATTTTTACCTCTCTCTCACACTTTTTTTTAATTTATGTCTTTTGATATTCTTCAATTAATTCAATCGGACAATTGAAAATTAAGAAACATGTGTGATAAGTGTATAAAAAGTGATATGTTAGTTTGTATATGATTGTGACAGATGTCATTGATCCGACGATTTATGTTAGTCATGCTAGAGTCGGCTAGAACGAGTGCAAAGAGTATAAATACTCTTATTATCGTTGTATTAATCACATTCTGAAAATAGAAAGAAAATAATTCATTCTCTCACTTTCTCACCCTAAAGTTCTCTATCTATCTCTCTAATATGTCTTTCTGTTATCTTAGTGTTAGAGTAGGTTGATCCATCAATGGCCACGCGCATTCTAAATCATCTCATTTGTGTTGTCCATGTATTAAACTTGAGAATTTACTGGAGAGCGTGTGAGAATGTGAGGATAGCACCATCCTACTAGGAAATTGTTGCGTTTCATCTCTTTTAAGGTTAGGTTAGGAATTATATTTGAGGCTGTAATATCTCCAACAGAATCCTTTCTGGATTATTTTGGTGAGAATCATAAGGATCTGTGAATCGTATTCGTTCATCGTACATTGTGCGATCAGTTTTTTTCAATTACTGTTTGTGTTTTATTTTAAATAAAAATATTTAAAATAATTTCTGACTGCATAATGTACGATAAATTGACACAATTTATAAATCCTTGAAATCCTCATAAAGAGGATCCGATTCGTAATATATGGTTTATGTGGTCTAGCCAGCTGGCTGCCAGACCTTTGGAACTGGACGCATTTGGGGAATAGAATCCGATGATTCATCCACCAATGCCCAGATGACAACCTCGGGACAAAGTGTTTTACCCTTTCTCTTTCTCATTTCCTTAACATTCGTATTCCTTACTTTACTTTTACTATTAAGGTTGCTTAACTTAATTGCTTTCCATCACTACTAAAGAGTTATTTTCTGGTATTTCCAATTCCAAATCCAACTAGATAGTTTTGCTTCAACATACATCAACGACGATCTTCCAATTCAGCAACATGACACTCTTCAGTAATACCTCAGCATCCCTCGATCGCGAGCTCCCGCCATCGCCTGAAATGAAAGATAAAGTGACGGCCATGGAGAAAATCGTAGGCCACAACTTCAAGAACAAGAGGCTTCTAGAGGAAGCTCTCACACACCCCTCCGTCACGAACTTCCCATCGTATGAGCGTTTAGCAGTGCTCGGTGACGCTGCCCTTGGCATGGCTATGAGTAAGCACCTCTTTCTTCTTTACCCCGACATGGATCAAGGCAACTTCTCTAAGCTCCGCTCCGCCAATGTTAGTACGATGAAGTTCGCACGCGCTGCTGTTAAACATGGGTTTGATCACTGCCTTCGTCACAATTCTCCTCCTCTCGCTACTCAGGTCATTGTATGAGCTATCTGGTTTCTTTTAATTATTTCATATATTATTATTTTAGTACTTTGCTAATTGAATTTGCATTTTGCAATTTGTGGAGGTTTTTTTTATTAATTTCCACAGGAGCTTAAGCTTTTATTGACATACTAAAAAAGTACACCAAATATAAGGAAATGGAATCGTGCAGAGTGAGTTTTTTTTTTTTTTTTCTTTTCTTTTTTAACATGCCAATACCATCTTTTTTTTTCTTTTCTTTTTTTTAAGGCTAATTACTGATATATCCTAATATATATAACCTGAAGAAAGAATGGAACTTTAACGAAAAGCTCCTGGTACTGTTTACTTAAAAAAAACATATTTTTACATTAAAAAGTCAATCATAATACTATTCACTTTACCCTTTATTTTATCCTTATCGTTAAACTTAAAGTTTTCAAGTCATTTTAATTAGTTTCCTAAAAAAAAAATGTAAAATATTTATATTTATATGTAAAATAGTGGTAAGTTTGAATAAAATAGTATTTTTATGCAATCAGTCTTTTACCACAGTAGTGTAAAGGAGTTGAGCTATTGCATGTCTACATGGTTAATTTAACAAAAACTATTATTTGACAAAAAAAAAATTTATATTGTAAGAAATACTAATGTACCTGTTACAATTATTTGAAAAGGAAAAAAAAATGCTCATTTTTACACAAATGTGAAAACAGCCATATAAGGAATCAAAACTCTAATACCATGTAATTTTTTTTATTAATATGCATTGAAATTATGACATTTAAAATTTTCTTTTCCAAGTCCGCATAAGCAATTTTTTTTTATAGAACAAGTACGATATTCATTGAAGTGAGAGGAATTTGTACAAAATGAGAATAAGGTGCATAAATGGGCCTCGAAAAAAACTTTGCCGGGAATTTCAATCCGGTCAAAGGGAAAAACAGTGTCCCGTACAAACAACTTTGAAAGTTAGCTATCCTCAAAACAAAGTTACATCAACTCCATATAAGTTTGAATAAAACTAAACGTCCGCATAAGCATTTGAGAACGTTTAATTGAACGAAATAACACAAAATAAATGTAGATAACAAGTAATAAACTAGGGATGACAATTTTTAACTGTTAGACCTGATAACCGTGAATAACCGTCCGAATTGATTGGATTTGAGTAAGAAAATTCGGGTATATTTTGGATATGGGGAAAAACTGTGAATAATATTTGGTTATGGTTTTGGATATGGTTATAGAGGTTCCCTATCCATATCCGTCCTCGAATCCGAACATAATTATATATAATATAATAGTAAATATATATATATTTATTATTATTATTATTATTATTCACCGAATCTATTACCTTAAGAATACAAAAGTTGCACTGTGTGAGTTGCATTTTGTGGGCAAGTTAAAAAGTTTTGATATGAATCAAAATCTATTAGAATCCAGACCAATAGTACTTATGGGAGATATAAAAAATCAGCCAACATTATCAATGTTTAGCTTTAATTTTTATGCTCCACAAGATCCACTCATTAAATCATTTTATATATCAAATATTTAATGACAAAATTAATATTTACTAAATTATCATGAGTCAATTGAACGAATATATTTTTTTTTATTAACAAAGATGGGTATAACAGTTAACCGATAAGGAATCCGTTACCCGGTGGGTATAGTTATGGATAATACCCTATGGTGAATTGGCGGTTATGGATATGATTAATTTTTGTGGTTATAGAGATAGATATAGTATTTCCGTCCCCAAACCGAACCGTTGCCATCCCTATAATATACACAAAGTCAATCATATTAGGTGTAATTTAAACATCCAAAAATACAATTTTTGCCAATCAAACTTAATTATGGATATTGCTTAGTTAGAGCCTAATCATTCGGTTTTTATTAGAAAAATTTACCACGGTGAATTTTAGTTGAAAAAAAATTGAATTCCAAAGGGTATACTCATATATAATTAGCTAGAGACACTAGCATATTACATGCACTTTTGGTTACCAATTAATTAACTGGTGTGAAACTTTCTTTCTTTCTTATTTCTAAACGCTGTCACATTAGTTAGTATTTTAAAAACTGGTGTCTCTAGCCTTGTGTATATTTGCCTCTTTTGATGTAAGTTTTCCTTTTTGAAATTTGTATAAATCATTTGTCGTTAAGTAATGGTACTTTTACTCTTAGTTTTATGAGCAATATTTTGATTTAAGTTTTAGGTTGGGGAGTTTGCCAAAGCGGTTTCGAATGAAGAAGATGAGACGGATCTTTTATATGGAGGGACTATACAACCCAATCATGCTCTTGCAGATATTGTGGAATCAGTGGCAGCTGCCTTATACATTGACTTGAACTTTGATCTGCACAAACTATGGAAGGTGCGTATTTCATTATAGCTTGTTTCATTTTATATGACAATTATGGAAACCTTTTATTGAGTTTGTAATTAGGGTTTGTAAGTTGGTTTGAACTTTAACTAGTGGTTTTTGTGTTATCTGCTGTGGTACATTTGTAGACATATGAGCATCTTTTGGAGCCTATAGTTACTCTCGAAGATTTGCCGGATCACCCTGTGTCAAAGTTGTTTAAGCTTTGCCATAAGCATGGAAAGCGTGTTGAGACCAAGGAGGCGAGAGATGATGTTAAAAATGTAAGTAATTCTTATGTGTATGTTGATGGTGACCTCTTTGCCTCGGCTCCTGGAAAAAATATTCCAATTGCCAAGCGTCGTGCTGCAAGTGAGGCCCTATCTAAGTTGGCCGAATTCGGCATAAGCTATGGGTCGTTTGAAGTTGTTGCTGAAAATGAAGCTAAAAAGAATTTGAAGGAGCTTTGTGAGAAGAAGAGGATCCGTAAACCAACTTACAGGTATGAACACATTCAGAAACAAAAAAAAAAAATTGTGTTTTTAGAATTATGTTGTCAATAATATTTATAAATAATCCACGCATATATTTACCTTTTCTACTGTAGAGTGAAAGAATTTGGTCCTGCGCATGAGAAGAGATTTGTATCATCAGTTGAAATTGAAACTTTAGATGGTGTGCTATATAAGACAGGAGATGAAAGGCCAAGAAAACGATATGCGGAGAATTCTGCGGCTTCCTTGATGATCAATATGATGAACACTATAGAAGCAGCTAAAATTAAGGGTGACTATTTTCCAGAAGCAGCTAAAATTAAGGGTGGCTATTTTCCCTCAGTACTCTACAAACTGTGGTTAATGATTTGTTGGGTGATAAGGCTGCTTGTTTTTTGTTTCACAGGAATAATTCTGTTAGTTATTTTCTTTGCTGTGGTCGGTTCTTGTCTGGATTACTTTTTTTCTGGTTGAAACTTGTCTGGAATACTTTCATATAACAAAGAATAGCCTTATAGAGTATAAAAGAGGCTCTCAATTAGTTATCGGGTAGCCTTTCGCTTGATTTCCGTTGACTTCCACGTTTGTAGGCCACTTTTAATTCCTCTTGGAATTTTAAAGAGCTTGTTTGTATGGCCTCGTTTGATGTTCATTACTGAATAAGATTGTTGGTCATGGATTGAATGTTAATCATGTTATATGTTCATGTGCAGTACCAGATTTCGCAACCCATGATAAGGAGAAATTTTTATGGGTAGCATAGAATTAAGAAAAAACTAGATATATATAGGTCCCAAAATTAAGTTCCATTGGTAGCATGCTCAAACTCTTGGATCGGCTAACAAATTTGCGTCTTTGAACATGTTAGATCTTACATCGCCTAGGGGAGTGGATCATTTGCCTTAAATGTACATACCCACCTCTATATAGCACAAGGTCTTTTGAGAGCTCACTGGCTTCTTATTTCATAAGAACTCCAAAGTTAAGCAAGATCGTGTGAGAGCAATCCCAGGATGGGTGATCCATTGGGAAGTTCTCATATGAGTTCCCAGAAACAAAACCGTGAGGGCGTGGTCGGGGCCCAAAGTTCATCTTCATATAGTACAAAAGTTTTGCTTCCAGTGTCATGTTCAACGAAGCTTAATTACCTCCTCATTCACAGCAAGCCTAGCCCCGCTTGGCACCATCCATATTTGCCTTTTTTAGTAAATTCAGTATGTACTTAGTTTGGGAGATAAGGAAGATCTTTTAACTTCAATCCCAAGAAAATAATGGAAAGGACCAAAATTTTTAGTAGGAAAGAGAGCACTGAGTTGAATAATTATTACCTCTTTGTAGGCTTGAGAAGATGGCCAGTGACATCAAGATAAAACAAGAATAAACACCAATATTGGTTCCTTTCTAACAAAGGTAGAGTGATCAAATTGGAAACCAATAAATCCAAGTGATTTTAATGCACCGTGTAGCTGCTCATACCAAGCTCCCGCCGCCGGGGGGGGGGGGGACTAGGTAGTCGTTTCATGAAAAAAGATTTCGAGCGATGACCATGCAAAAATGCATAGCTGACATCATGTTGGTTTAAAAAGCAGTCAAATTGAGCTGCGAAAGGGAGGAGAAACCTTATGGTAACCGGTTTTTGCCACTGGACTAAATCTTTCAGAGTGCAGTCCAAACCCTCTTGTTGATGACATTCCTTAACCACCAGACAAACTTTATACCGATCTATGGATCCATTTGGTTTTCTCTTAATCCGGAAAACCCACTTACACCCTACTAGATTTTGAGAAGGGTAGGGAGGAACCAAGGACCAACTGCCAGTATTAAGGAGGCCATTAAACTCCTCTTGCATGGCTTGGCGCCAATGGGAGTGCTTAGAGGCTTGAATATAGGTAGAAGGTATATAATCGAGAGAAAGATGAGAGGGTAGGGATGTTTAGTGGCTGAGAAAGCTTTGGGTTTAAAGATCCCAGATTTGGATCTAGTATGCACAAGATAAATAGAAGTTGGGGGAAGAGAATGAGGGGGTGGGGGTGGTTGTGTTGATGGTGGGGAGGGTGATGGTGATGGTATAGGACTGGTGTTTGAAGATGAGGGTGGCAGGATAGGTTGAGAAGAAGGAGAAATGATGGTAATGAATTTATCCGTCTCTTTTCTTGTGTTGTTAATTGGTCTTTCTTGCGCTTCATGTCCTATGTCATGAGCACATGATAGTGGGTGATTAGGGCATCAAGTTGCGTTAACCACATGATTTCATTCGTGTGTGATCATGAATGAAGTTATGAGACGAGATAGAAAATTCATGCATGAACATGAAAATTCATGCATGAACATGATTGAAAAAGTAAAAACATGTTGCTTGATTGTAGCTCCACTTCCAAATTTAAGGTGCTAGTGGATTTATTTCTTGAGGAGTAATTTTTTGCCTATGTGAACTTCGACCTACAACTATTATTAGTGCAAATTTTTTTATCAACTTAGCATGAGATATGCAATTTTTGTCTTTAGATGATAGGCATTTATTTATTTCATGGGAATGAAATCAGAGAATGCTGGAGGCTCCTTCAATCAGTTGTGTTAACTACTTGCAAAAGATGAAGATTGGTACAGAGGAAGAGAAAGAATTGGTAGAGAGAAACAAAATAGATTGTATTAATTGATTAGAGAAAATGTATACAAATGAATTTAAGGAAATGATAGCTATACAATCCCTTATATAGTCATATATCCCAATTACAATAATACCCTTCTAACTATATTTCCATTATATCAGTTATTACTCCCCCCTCAAACTAAACTTGGAGTATCCAAGTGAAGTTTGAACTAGCCAGGTATTTGAGACTGATCTAGAACTGCAAGAGCAAGATATTTGCCATGCTTCAAGAATTAACCTGTTGCAAACAAAGCACCCACTAACACTGTTGTAACTACTGACCAAAACCTCTGCTCACCCCATTATCATCACACAAGACTACAACCAAGGAGAATGACACTCCAAGAACCCAAATCAACCAAGGAGAATCATACTCCAAGAAACCAAATCAACCAAGGAGAGTGACACTCCTAATAGCTTCCTAAATTTTCCCAGATACCAAAATTAACCAAGGAGAATGACACTCCAAGAAAACAAATCAACCAAGGAGATTGACACTCTTGATAGCTTCCTAAATCTTCCCATATACCAAAATTAACCAAGGAGAATGACACTCCAAGAAATCAACATTATAGGCTGTTATAAGCTTCTGAACAATTCAAACCCAATAAAGAGATAATAGAATTTCAGTGAGGCAGAGAGAGAATTGGACACCATAAAAATTGCACAGTTCATGGTTCGAAAATCCAGCAAACCAAATGAAGTCCATGACAAACACTGATCTTGAAGCAATGAAGAATCTTGAACCCAAATATCCCAAATATCACACTAATATCCCGAAAAGACTCACAAGCGGAGTGTAAATTCAATATACCACTCTTTGGCTATCGGCCTTACTAATTGACAAAATAGAGAACACTTTCTTACTGAAATATTTAATCAAACAGATTATGTGCACTGTGAAAACCAGAAATCAAGAACCCGATAAGAACTTCAATCTTGAGCCAAAGAACGTAGAGGAAGCAAACCAGAAACCTTGGCGAATCAATCTACCAACTAGCAGCAACCATGGCTTTCCTTTCTCGCTCACACACACTGAGAAATTCAAGACTGAGCAAAACCCGAGTGAGAAATGGAGGGCAAAGCTTACCCAAAAGAGCCAGGCCAACGTTCCCAAATCCAGGGCACCTGCGAATGGACAACGATCGAAGAGATTGGCATCGAGACACAGCTGGTGATCCAAAGTTTACATCTTTCAATCCCACGCGGGAAACAAAAGCTACATACTTCAATTTTGAACCACCACCAAAAAAACCCAAATTAATTGGGTGATCCTGTGGCACTCCTCCAAATGAAGGTTCTCAAGAGATATTGCTGATGGCGGCATTTAATTTCGTTCAGGCATTTTCACAAACACCTCGATGGCGGCAGAGGACGGCGCAGTCACAATCTACAACTGCAGCGCAATAACCGACGCCAGAAAACAAGCAGAACCCATATTCGATGAAGGTCGGTCTTGCCAAGATGCTCCACAAATTCAGAGGTGTTTGAGATCCTGCGAGTTAGCACAGCCAGAAGATGGAAGGCGGCAGAGATCTTCAGTTCTTGGAGGCGGTGAGGAATCGGTTGTCTGGGCTCCACCTTGACAGCACCTTCAAGTCTTCCTCCGTCATTGATCCCAAGAATCCCACGAAAAACATTGAATAGGAGAAGCTCTCAAAGAGTTGGGGTGAAATCTCCGCAGTATTCCTTCGAAACATAAACTAATGGAAAATTGGAAAGAAACTAAGCGAGAAACAGAAGAAAAATAATGAAAAATGGAACCACCAAAATCAATGGTACGAGCCTGGTGGCTCTGATACTATATTAACTACATTGCAAAAGATGAAGATTGGTACAGAGGAAGAGAAAGAATTGGTAGAGAGAAACAAAATAGATTGTATTAATTGATTAGAGAAAATATATACAAATGAACTTAAGGAAATGATAGTCATACAATCTCTTATATAGCCATATATTCCAATTACAATAATACTCTTCTAACTATATTTCTGTTATATCAATTATTAAGTTGTAGGAAGTTGTTGTGTTTTCATGCCCAAATATAGTTGATTAGAACCAATGTATTAAATATCAATGATATCGGAAATATCGGTAGTTCAAAACCACGGAAATATCGATGGAAATATCGGGATATTATCGATATTGATAAAAATTGAATAGAAACCACGGAAATTGTAAGAAAAACTTGGAAATTTTTATTGAAACTTTGCAAGATGTATTTAGTCAATTATCTATTAGTTTATCACAAAAAATTAGAAGGAAATGCATTGCATGATGAATTTAATTGATTTAAGTTGATAATATAGCGAACTGGCAAACATTGTGAATGTAAAAAATATGTAGTAATTAATGAAAAAAATTTAAACACACCAAAATCATTTATATATAATGAAATTAACAAATGTGGAACAAACAATTTGAAAAGTAAAAGAAAAACTGACAATAATATATACATGTGCAATATGAAAACTTTCACACGGCATTTCTAGCCACATGTCAGATCTCACAATTTCCTCATATTTAATTATCTTTTAGAAACGTAGAGGGATTCGTGCAGGGCTCTCTTGATCCTTCTCCCACAGTCTCCATGTTTCTTCTTCTGCTCCCCATCTCTTCTATGCAACACACGCATACCACACACGCACATACCACACACCACACACGCAGTCTCTCCTTCTCTCCCTCAGTCTCTCCGTCGTCCGTCCATCCTTCTCCCTCAGCCTCGATCTCGATCCTTCTCTCCCTCAGTCTCTCCGTCCGTCCATCCTTCTCCCTCAGCCTCGATCTCGATCCTTCTCCCTCAGTCTCTCCGTCCATCCTTCTCCCTCAGTCTCTCGATCCTTCTCCGGTTCTCCCCCCCCCCATCTCTTCTCTTCTCTTCATCTCGTCTTCTATTTCATTTTCATACCTAGATCGGAGTTTAGGGTCCTGTTTTGTCGGCCGGAGTTATAGAAGCTCCGGCGTTCTTCTCCGAGTAGCCCAGTTCAAAAAATATGGCGATAATTTCGGAAATATTGCGATAATATCGATAATATCGATAATATCGGCGATATATCGCCTATATTATCGGCATTTTGTTCCTTGCTTAGAACTTGAGCCTGACTGGAAGCTACTTACAATAAATTGCAATCAACATTTGATACATATTTGCAAACAGTTGAATTCTACCAAGTACTACAATGTTTCGTTCTTTAATTTGAAGGAGTGGAGCCTCCAACAAGTTTCATAGCTTCAACGAGTGTTTCTCGGAACCTCACCAAGTTAACCTTCAGATTCTGTCCATCAACGTACACAGCCCTGGAAGCCCGATAGCCCTTCAAGGAAATAGACATGGGATCCGTGATGACAGGGTGATCTGGACCATAGTCATCAATCAGTGAACTCTCCTCTGGTTTAATCTTGTATTCCAAGTAATTCAGCCCCATTTCACTCGCCGGTCCACCATAATAGTTAGCGGACGGCCAATCTAGGCCTAGCGGTACCACTTGCACTAACACTGCCCCAGCTGGCAAGAACAGTGCATTTGTAAGGCCAGCACCGTGAGCTCCAACCATGACACTGCACGAGTTCACTAAGCCCGAAAATGTGTCCAAATTAGATGTCTGGTTAGGCGTTGCAGCGATAACCTGAAAGCCTAATTCTTCCATCATTTCCACCATCTTATCTTCATTCAAAAACTTCCTTGTTTTGCGACGAGATATAAGAACGAGCACTGGTTTTTTCCCCATCTGATTTGAGACATCCTTCATTTTCAGCATGTATGATTCTCTTAGGAACTGCTTGAAGTCAAACATGGAGTACCCTCCTGGAATGTCGGAAGAATTTAGCGCTAAGTTGTCATGAAACTTAAGGCCTATGACAGCTCCAGGATAGCAGTGAACACCTTCTTTCTCAACTGAATTTATCACATCATAACTGGACAACGATGATAGAATTCGTTCGTACTTGCTAACCCACCATGGCTTAAAATCAGTTATGACAAACTGAAGCTGGGATCGAAAGCTGCGTGACATGATGAACAAGGGGATGATGATCTCATTGAATTCGTGAAATAGGTTTCCGGTGAAGCCACCAGAAGAGAATATCATAGCTGGGATGTTGTAAGAAAAATTGCAAGCCGGAGGATTACTAATGTTTCCATGTAGTATTTGCACTGGTGTGACAGCCTTCATTGCAGTCCCATCTTCTTTCCTTGCATATGGCTGAACCTTGTATTCAACTTGGGCTTCATTTGAAGGTACATAAACTGTTAAAGCACTCTTGTCAACTATAACTGGTCTATTAGCCACACACACTTCCGAGTGAACGTCAGAGTGGCAAGACAACCCTGTGGTTTCGAGTTGAATTCTATCTACCCCTGCAGTTCATAATCTCACATTACCATAATGGTAGCTCAAGTGGTTAAAAGCATTTTAATTCAGCACCCCATGTTTTGCGTCTGATTCGTGAAAAAATAAGTACATAATCAGAATGGTAATGAACGAAAAAGAAACCTTTAACTAGTCTTTTGAAGAAAGAATTGAGAGGCTCTTCCACTCCAAAGACTTCGTCATCTTTTCTGGTGTGCATCCCTTCAATTTCAAAACTAAAAAAATTAGTGAAATCATGGCTACTGATAAACAAGGATAATCTTAATCACAACCATTACCTTCGCTTAATTAACGAAATGTGACTAAACTAAATTGAAAGTTAAGAAAACTTACATGTCTCAAAGGGATTAATATTGGGGGTGAATGCAGCATAAAGCAAACCAATTGTAAGCAAGAAAATCATTGAAATTGTTGTACCAACCACCCCAGTTTTTGAGTCCTTCGCCATCATCGATCTATGATCCAAAACTCCTCAAAATTTTCAAGTCATGTATAAAAAAAAACAAGAAGACAATTTAGAAATTAGTATCCAAAGACTTAATATTTTTTTCCTCTCAGTTTGTTATGATGCAGCCATCAACTTTGTTTATTCCTAGTTGTTTATATTAAATTTGATATATTTAATTCAGAGATAGCGCAACGTGAGCTGCACTGTAGTATTTGCAGAACCAGTTTTTGGTAACGTTTGCTGGAGTCATATAAACATAATATTTGTTTACGTAATGGTCGTTAGCCCCTATTTTTATAATTGCTTAATGAATATTTTAATTTTGATAAACATCATTTGCGTGAGTCCAGCATAAGACCTCCTCCAAGTAACTGGCGCCTTTGTGATCTAGACCAACCGGTCATGTGGCTTAATGGTTCAATCATCTTCTTTGGGAACACTGTCATTGATGCCTCTGCCTCTTGTTCTTTTGGTTTATTTAATTGAGTAAATTGCCGATTCCTGAACTTTCACTTAGCTTTTAATTTTTCTCCTAAACTTTTGTATTAGAAAACTAGGAACTCAAACTAATTCTTTTAGCCAATTTCAGTTTTTCATATATTCCATCCCAATTGAGTAAATGGAAGAACATGCACAATATGTAAGGGTAGGTAAGTCGTTTCACTCTTAAAAATAATTGAAAAACTGGAAAATAAAATATAACAAAAACTTTCCCTCTCTTTCTTTCCACCAACTCCTATTCTCCATTTTATTTTAGGAAAACTAATGAAAATGACTTGAAAAATTTTAGTTTTAATAAAAAACCATGTTATAAGTTTTGTTTAATGATTAGTATAAGGCCCATATTAAAGTAGTCAAACTAAAAATGGTCCAATTATAATAAATTATGATTTGTCGATTTTACCCCTAACTTTTTTGGGTTGCGTTCCAGATTTTCGTTGTTAATGGAGTTTATCGTTGTTTTGCAGACCTTCTTCTTTTTCTTTGAAACAAAAATATAGATCCTCATGCTATTTAATTTATATTTTGTATTATTTCGTTGAAATGTGATCGTCGTTATTATTCATAGTGTATTCGGGGTACAATTTTTCAATTTTTCTTCGTCAATGGAGTTCATCGTTTGTTTCTCCAGAAGATAAATTTGAGATCTGCATGCTATTTAATAATAACGACGGATCACTGTTTCTGGATTGTAAAAATAAATTGTTTTTGGAATCTAAGTTACTGTTTCTGGAATCTAAATCACTGTTTCTGGATCTAAATGAAATAGACATTGTTTCTTAAATATAAGCTAGAAAAGAAATAGTGAAATTCATTGTATTTGAATTCAAAGCAAAATAAGCACCCTGTTTCTTGAATATAATCAACTGATGCATGAAAGAAAGGAAACAATCAAAGGTTAAAACATAAACTGTTTTTGGAATCTAAGTTACTGTTTCTAAAATTTAAGTCGCTGTTTCTGGAATTTAAGTCGCTATTTCTGGATTTTGATTCCTTTCTTTCCAGATACAGTGGTTATTTGTGCACAGACAAAACAAACATTGTTTCTGATTTTTTTTTTCTTCAGAAATAGTGTTATGTTTTGGGTTCTCCAGAAACAGTTTTATGTTTTGGTTCTTTTTTTTTTCTAGACACTTTTTTGCTGGTAACTTTGTTCCGATGAATGCTTCATTTTTGAACTTTGATTTGGTTGTTTTTGAAATGAGGGAATTCAATTTGATAGGAAGACAGAGAGTTATTATGACTGTTTCGTGCTGGGTTGAGGTTGGTGAAGAGTCAGGACAATATTAAATCATTTAGGGGTATTTACGGAAATGTAGATTTGTAGCGGATTGTGCTTGTAAGTTTGACATGTGGACAATAATTTTGGATGATTTTTTATTAAACTTTGAGCCATTTTGGTTAAATAACATTTTGGGATGGTTTTTGGTTAAATATTTGTTGACCCAAGCTCTTTTCATTAAAACTCCCTTTTATTTTTTCCTTCTTTTCAATCCACACATGCCCTGGTATTAGAATTAGCATATGGCGTGATTGCCTTCATGAATAGCGAAATTACTCTTTTTCTTCGAGCAGGTATTACCATATTTGTTTTCTCTTTGACAAATAATAATATGAACAAGAGCAATTCTACTCAACCAAACGCAAGCAATTCCACTCAACCAAACGCAAGCAAAATAAGGTTTTAGTTAACAAAACAAGATCATCAATGTTCTGTTCAAAACACAGATGACACATTCTGATCAACTACACTTTCCATGGCCTTCCTCGTTTGATTGGAGCCTTGTACCTAAGCCTATTGTCATTTGTACTGACTGAGTAAGGCTGAACCAGTGATGTAGAAGCATCAACTTGAGTACGTTGTGCTTGGGGTTGTGATATAGAAGCAGCAAAATGAGGAGGTCGTGAATGAGTGTGGAACATAAGGCTGCATAATTGTGAAGTATTCTCACTTTAGATACATGCCTTTGTCTTGTAACCCAAAAAACATGAGATTCAAAGTGATAGTAAATACTAATGAATGACACACTATAAGGTCAGACTAATTAATATCGAATGGTTCCTGCATTGCAATTCCTCCTTTTTATGATTATTGTTTCTTTTCTTCTCACGCGTTTCTTTTCGTCATCATTGCCTTATCTTGCATTTTCATTTATATCAATAGAAGATGGTGTATGATAGGATTTTTACCACCTCCAAAAGTAGGGATAAAAACACTTAAAAATACTTGCAAGAGAACAAGGTTGTTGTAGTATAAACAGCTCAAGTAAGGTCGTTTTCCGCTGGGATTATTTAAAACAATTTATGAAAAACCCTAATCCTAGTTAATTATATGAAAATAAAGATTGGAAGAGGTTGATTTTATGACCTAAACTATTAAAAACGAATTTAATTAAAAACAATTAAAGAAATAGCTGGATTTAAATCTTAGTAAATTCGCCTAGAACATAATCCTAAATTGACTTGTTAAATTCGCCTAGAAATATGCACAACCACGTTCTAGACCCAAATCAGCTCCAAAACTGGCCCAATATAGCTGGATTTAAAGCTTGGACTATTTTAAACACTTCTCCAGAAGGCCACAAACCCATATGAGGTCATCTTGGTTTCCAAAAATGCAGGTTAAGCCTAGAAACATCATTTTCCAGCAACGCGCACTGATTCTTTAATAAATCGCCAGACAATAACCGCTTAGTAAAAAAATCTCAAACTTTGATCAAACATTTCAAGAGACACACGAACTTCCTCCAATTTGAATCACAAATTCATCCGTTTGATCATGTTTTGCTCTAGAGGAAGTCGAATGTCCTATATTGAAAATATAAAACAAAATATCAAAATTCTACTAAAATAATTACCAAATTATACTAAAAATAGGATAAAATATATAATATAATATTGACTCATCAGTGTACCTACAGTAAATCTTCATTTACAACCAAATATGTTGCTAGCTAATTCATTCCATTTATTTTATGATTGAAGTCAAGTGTGGGAGTTATACCTTGTGAAACGTCATTCCTTCCTATTAATAATCCTTGTTATAAATTCTATTGTAATAAATTGTTAAATGCTCTAGCCATCTATTGTAACGTTGTCGAACTTGCGTTTTCCAACATTGTTCTATATAAAAAGCTCTATTTATTTTGTCATTGAACATATAGTTGCCAATGTCAAGGGAAAGAATTGAGTTCTTCAATTGACATAAGTATTGCGAATGTGTGCTTATGAAGATATCATGCTTTTGTACCTTGAGGGTAGGAAAGAATACCCTGCTATATAATCTTAAGGACAGTGAATTTATACGTTTTAATCTGAAATCTTATACAATCAAGTGCCATGAAGATCAAATTATTCGTCCCAAATAGATGAGTATTTCATTTTTATTTTATTTAATCTGTCTAATTATATTTGTCTATGTAAATTGCTTACTAATTGCTACCTATATGTGAATTATTTAGACATGGCATTTGTGTCGCTTTCGTGACATACCCGATATCTTAACAGGTCATGTCGTGTAAGACCTGTTAAAGTAAACGGGTAATATGACTCGACCTGAATCGACCCGTTAATATTATCAAGTAATATGATCTGACCCGTTACCTGTTAAAGAAAATATATTTTAAATCAATAAATAATGAAAATAAAAAACATAATTTGACTCAAAAAAATGAAAAACATAATACTAAATTAGTATATGCATATCACGTTGTCACATAAATATTACTTCAAAACATAAAATCAATAAAAAACATTTGACTTTCGAGTATTATATACTCCCAAAATAAGAGCCTAATGAAAAAACATTAGTACATTACTACAAAATATCAAATGTTTAAAGATATGCAAAATGAAGGGAGTTGCGTTTCAAAGTTGAGAAACCTTGCACGTTTGTAAAAATAAAATTTTCATCAATCATCAAGGAAATGGTATTGGAACTTTGTCTTGAGATATTGTCTTCAAGAGTTATATTGACGATGTTTTCATTAATGCTTTCCACATTATAACACTCTCTTCCACATAAACTAAGCATAAACCAAACATCATAAACCATTCAAATGTGTTTGGTATTTTTAAATTACTTAATATTTTTATTTTTAATGTCTTTGGTATTTTTAAATTACTTGATATTTTTATGTTTAATATGTTTTATAATTTTTTAATCTCACTATTTGCCTATAGTATACTATAAAAATAAATAAACAAAATTTAAAATTTATATAGAATAACAATATAATAATACATATTAATATACATATATACATATGCTCTATGGCTATTGTATTTTATAGTAAGTGTTTTTAGTAGTTAAAAAATTAAAACCATCAAATAATTTTTTTCTTAACGTATCGAAACGAGTTACCTGCATGTCACTCTCGTGTAAATGTGTAAAGGACCCGTTAATAACAGGTCTGTATCGTTTGACTCAATAACGACCCAATTAGTTATCATGTTGACCTGATGTTGGAAATTTGAGTAGTTTGAGTAGAAATTTTTTTGTCCCACATTTGGCCATTCCCAAAAGATTTCATCACTTTATAAGGCTTTGTCATTTATAAAAAGTGATTGG